GTTGAGAGATCGGCTCATCGGTAGGGATACTCTCCTCTCGACGCTTTTGCCTAGATTCCGCTGCGACCTCGTCGTTGAAGAACCTGAAAAACAATATACATTCCTTGCCAAATATATCTCAGTAGTCTATTTTGGAAAAGAAAGCAACGCTAGGGTTGTTCTTGGGTTCTGGGTTTTTCTTGGGTTTGGTCGTTTTCGTAACTGTCTAAAGGGCCAGGGAACAGCTGAATGCCGGAAGACTATCAATGTCAGGGCAGATAGGTGATTATTCGAATAGTCAAAATATGAACGCAATGGAGTAGAAAGAGGTCTTCATTCTCGAAGGAAGAACAGACAGAATGGAGAAGCTCTCTGTGCAAATTCCTTATTTGCGGAGCATGACCAACTCTACTGTAAGAACAAAAGTAGAAGAAGTTCCATGTTAGGAAGATTATGATCCCAAACATATGCCACATGTGCGCGACTCTTCTGAGATCGTTTGTGCTTGTTTATTCTGTTTACTTTGGTCTTGGCCTCTTTTGTGAGAAGTCGTAAAAAAGAGGCTCAACCCAAATAAAAGCTTGAACCCCCAGCCCTCACTGGCACATGACGTGCAATAATGGTGGAATTTTGCCAGTTATCCAAAAGTCTTCCAGGAGGTCTGGCCTCTCAGGATTTCTTTTCTTCTCATCGGGGAAGTCATTTGTGGGCATACTAGGATTTTCTTAGGTTACAAACCAAGAAACTTACATCTCCCAGACGTAACCGTCTGTACTGTCTAAAGAGAACATTTCCATTGCCATCTCGTAGGAAGTTTGCTGATTTGTCGGATTTAAAGGTTTCATACCTGAAAAAAAAAGACTGACAATCGTCCGGTAGATGTTACAGTAGTCCGAGTAAATCACTTACTCTGCAATTTTCGGATTGGGTGGGTCGATTCCGTACGGTACGGCTTTCGAGATGAATTGCATGAGTTGTTGATTTTTTATTTCCGTATGTTTCTTCATGAGATTTTCAAATAACTGCGCCAGAGGTTTGGTCTCAACTTCTATCAAAAAATCGTTTAAAATCGATCAATC